ACATCCGCTTGGTCGTCACCTTTAGCCATATTATTGGTAAGCTGCGGCTCACAACCTTAGGTAAAATACCAGCCAACGTCCTTCTCCTTTTGTGAGGAATCTAGGCTTCAGCATGACCAAGTACGCTTATGATGACCGGATTCAGAATTCGCGATCGCGCGATTGGCTTGCTGTACTGGATCACGCGCGGTTGGATCGCTCGACTGCATCGCGCGATCTTGTCGTGCGATCCAGTAGAGCGATCCAATCCAGCGATGCAGTCGCGCGATCGCGAAGTCTAAACGCAGTCTAACACACGGTGATTTTGACATTGTTATTACGACTGACTTAAATATAGTATCTAAGAACGCGTTCATAACGGGCGATGCGCGTGCTTCATGTGTGTTTCGTGTGATGCGATAGAATTCAGTGCGAAAACATGTCTGCCACAGAATTCCATGTCAGTACCGCAAGAACGTAACTTCGACATATTCGTGCTTACATTTTTGTCACCATTTGTCATTTTTGTGTATAGAAAGTTGGGATAAGTAAAATCTGAACTGGTAAATGGTTGAAAAGTCTCCCTTTCCGAATTTTCACTCCATATCCCGGAGATGGGGGGGGGACGTGGCGACGCGCTTGAGATGAATTGCTGTCTGCGCTTCTGATGGGATATTGCCGTTTTGCGACAGTTGCAAGCATGCCTGTGCCCGATACAAAACAGGAAGGCAGTTCCCGTCTCAGGATACTTGTCAACAGCTGAGCCCTCCTACTTCCTTGTTTATTCCTCCTTCCTTCTCTTCTTTCCTTCTTTCTATCTTCCCTACTGTTCCTTCTCCCTTCAACTGCTCGGCTAATAGATGCGATGAAAATGTATCTCTGAACACTCGCTGCGAGAGCATGCCCGATTGACAGATCCATCAAATGAGAGATCCCACGAACAGAGGCAACTAACGCCATGTTCAAACGCCCCCTCCCCCGCCCATCCACAGCTTCCCCACCTCCGGGAGTTGAAATAAATTAGCGGATTAGTGGTGCAGTCAGAAGTGCTCGACATGCGTCAAGTCTCGAAGTATGAACGCAATCCATGGGGGTTTACATTAGCTTAGACCTATTCAATTTGCGCCCAAAATCGCCATCTCTACAAAGGTGCCGCATCTAATTTGCAGAATTTGTGACTAGGTAGGTATTGTGAATTATCTTTATTTTGAGATTTTTTCTGTTTTGTCGTTTCGTTGGCATCCGAGATCTTATAGTTTCCATGTGAATGCCCTTACCCTCAATATCATTCCTTTGATGTGTCTTCTGAACTTGAATTTTCATTATTCCGTCATACTGGGAATTTTGGCTTTTTCGTCATAGTTGCTGTTTGGGCCATATGTGATCTTGTTTGGTAATACAATAGATGGCGCTATCGCAGTTTGTGCTAGTACTCCATATAACCATTGCTACCAGGAATTGCGATAGCACCTAATGGAATGTTATTTTTCGATTAATATTACTTGCGTTGCTGCTCATCTTTGCGCTTCAGATTTCGACGCTGTTGATGATCGCAATACTATGGGCAGCTGTGGTCGGTAGTTTCGTCGTAGGAGAGGAGGCCATCACTCCCTCCGATGTCGTTTGGGGAACCTGCCGTCGATATAACGAGTTGGAACTGTTCATGTAAGTTCTCACTGATTTGAGGCACGGAGCCGCTATATCAAATCTTTAGCTCTCACTCACTTTTTGACCTGTTCATGCCTCATTACGAGCAAAGAGTTTAAAATTTTGCATGTTTATCCCAAAAAAGTATACTAGCGCCAGTGGATATTGACGGGGTGAAAGTGTATGAGAAAACGGGTGTTTTAGACCTGAAGGATTGTTATGCATCTTTGTAGATCATCCTTTTCAGCCATACTCTGCAGTTGATTTGTCCACTCAATTATGACAACAAGTGTGATGACCCCATCATGGATCCGTACGGTCTATTTAGATATCGCTGCCAAACCGTTTGTGAGTTCACAAATTACAGCCTTTCTCTTCTGCTCTTACTTCCACGGCAATCTGCAAAAAATCTCTTAAATCTCTCTGGGTTCAGATCCTTATGATGAAAACTTGTCAACAATTGAGATACTGAATGCGAGTTCATTGCTGGAAATGCTGCACCACACGGATGTTTACAAAAGGAACATGGTGTATGATCACGTGAGTCTAATTATTTTATATTTTCAGAGGTACACACGTTTGTTCCGAGGAAATTTTTGTCCTCACATCAACCTCAGCCAAGGGCACTGTTTGAGGGGGTGTTGAGTGAGAGGGGGTAGTGAGTAATGTGGAGAGAATGACTAGCGATAATGAACTGTCCGCCACAAAGTCTGGTAGGATGAGAGCAATGACTGGCATTTATGCAGGAGAACTAATTTGCTAACCAGGGGAAAGGGTCAACAGGGCAGACTGCTGGCCATTTGCATGAGGTGCACATCACTGCACTCATCTTGACAAGGTGAACTCTGAACTGTCTTCAAAATTTGCAGAGTTTCTTCTTTTTCTTCCTAAGAGTGCATATATAAATAAATAAATAAATAAATAATTTGCTCGCTTTAACAACCGGTGGAGAACGGGTTCGGACCGCGAAACTCATCCCGCCTGACACGCCCAACCGTCCGCACCGAACTACACTATACTTGTATGAATGATAATAAAGGTACTATCCAAGAACTACGTTATCGGGTAAAAGAATATCGTTGCATATGCCGAAAAGAATCGAACGGTGCGCTCGTAATTTTCGCGCATTACGAATTACTCCTGGTCTAGAACTATCTGCACTTTGATGGAACATTCGTTCAAGACGCTCCTTTGCAGCCTGTTCTACTCGCCGACATGTCCGTTCAGTGCTCGTATTGCTCCATATTTCAATGCACTTCCTCAGCTGTATAACCAAAGCATCAAGTTCGCCGCATTCGATGCCACAGAATTCACGAAGTGAGTTTGTTTCAGATGTATTTTTGCCGAAGGGTGTTGCAGCTATTCCTTTTGATTAGTGTGGTGGTAGAACCTCTTTTTTGGACACCACATAGACACCAGATGAGGATTTAAGGGCATATTGGTGCGATTACGAATTATGAAGTGAAGCCTCGAAACTTCCCCCGCTTTCAACAAAAATAAATTCTGCCATGCTTCTCATTTTGTGAACAGAACTTGAAGACATCATTTTTGTGTGATATTGTTTTTGTATTGAGGAGTAGACGGTCTTGAGAGTCCTAGTTAAAGCGCATTTACTTATGAGTCCTGCTGTTGCATATGCGGGGCAGAAGCCTGGGGGGTTACTATCACCGTCCGCCAGTGATAACAGAAGTAAGAACATCGAGAAGTTATAATGGTGGGCCTCTGCTCGGGAAACAATCCAGTGAGATGCCGGGCAATGAAGGGCAAAGGAGCGGTTTGTTCTATGTTTGACTACAGCTCAACTTCTAGATTCATCGACAGAGCACCAAAATATACTGACTCCAGTGCGCTGACAACATCAGAATGTCAAAAAGACCTATTTCGATCTCAGTTTTAACAACCCCTAGCTTTCAAAGCGAAAGAACGCTTCATCGAGACGCTACTCATTGATTGACAACAGAGTTGGTGTAATTTTACTAGCAATTCTTGATTTTCCTGAAAGTTCCGATGTTTGCATATGTTGGAAACTACTTTCGCAGGTTGCTTCGCTGGTAAATCTGGGTTTTCATATAATACGAGGGTAACTGAGCGTTAAAGACCGCTCCCGCGATAAAAGTGTCATGGATAGTTGCTGTTCAATTATGAAACAGTAGCTGATAAGTAATTCCCAAAGAAGAAAAAAAGCAAGAAGAGTCCTCAAGAACACCATAACAAAATCGCTCCCTGACAGTCACACCGCCCTGCGGTCTCTGTGCAACCCCTGGCTCACAAATCGCTTTATCGCATCTCCCAGTAGTGGATATCATCCAATGCAAAGAAAAGAATACGAAAAACAACAAAAACACGGACGAAAACACTTAAAAAAATTTCAAAAACTCGGCGTCCGAATTTGGGGTTACGGTAGCGTGCATCTTTTAGTGCATGTCGAGCTTTTGCACCACGAAAATTGCATCACTCGTGATTTTTACGCGTTTTACCTTGCGAGATGGGTTGCAGTTGACTGTATGTGCTCCTAATGAATAAAATGTAATAAAGGAGAGCAGAATTATTTATGGGCACGAGCGTGGTCAGCAAAAGGGACATGCGCTTCCGATTAATGCCTGCCAAAGGTATCAGTGTGCTGAGCCCTGTGTAGCGAAACTCGCTTCGTAGAGAATCCGGATATGTAAAAAAAAATAGTACAAAACTTTCTTTGATTAACACCTAAATCAAAATAACATGGAAACATTAATAAAGGCCGACATCTTTCCTCGTGAAGTAGGTATATGGCTAAAACAGGCACACAACTCATACCCTGGTTCGCGCTGCGCATTATGGGTGTGTCGCGGAGGCGAACCGCGCTTGAGGTAAGGCCAACCTGTCTTTTTTTTTCTTACGACAAACGACAGGGCCACCATACCGTTCGTATCCGTTCGTATCAGACATTTTCCAGCTGTTGGTCTCCTTTATCAAAGTTAGCAACTGGCGGAGCAGCAGATCTTGGCGCGTCGAACACGGACACGGGACCCCATCATCCCGCAACGGACAACACTGTAAACAAGTGCGTGGGTCGGCCATGGAACTCCCTGAATCCTGTAAACACATCTGCTCGTGTAGACAGGCATTGCGTGGAACTGCACCATCCCATTACCTCTGCGTGGGAGCCTAGGCATGGCGCATCCACAAATGAAGCTAATGGGCGCTAAAACACCTACTGCTTGCTCCTATTCCAGAAAGGGGTGCATCCCAGATGCATTTCTGGATACCCGAGTACGCTCGCTTGAAACGGTACACAGAAAACGGATTTTTCGAGCAGCTCAGAGTGCTCCCTAATAAATCCCCAACGCAATTATCTCATGAATCCCGGAAACTTCAGAAACAGTTCAAGTAGTTTTCGGAAAGAGGAAATCCTAAATCTTTGACAGCGGTATCACTGAGCGCTTCGGTTATTAGGAACTTGAGAACCATTCTTTTCGAAAAACTTGTTCTTTTTCATCACCAAACCGTAAAAAAAAAGGGGGGGGGGATCGTACCGAACCGGAGTCGTACGGGCTCGACCAAAATCTCCAACCAATGACGTGCCCTGCCCAAGACTTTGAAGCATGTCAAAAGAGCAACTTGGACGATATTTTTCTTCAACTACAAATTGGGTCAATCCGCAGTCGAGACAGCTCGACAAATTAACCAGGTGTGGGGCCCAATAGTGTTGGAGAAAGCACCGTGCGACAATGGTTCGACAAATTTCGTTCTGGAGATTTCAGC